AACCAGTCAATATCCTTCTGATGTTGAGGGTTCCACAGCTGGATGCAGCACTCCAGGTGGGGTCTCACAACGCATTAGTTGTTCTAATGGAGTCTATTGGTTTCTTTGCAATAATTTTAATAGAATACAAAACTAAAAAAAAACAAGTTTCAGAACTAACTCTTAGTCCCTTTCTTCTTATGCACAAGTACTCGCATCTATATAAAGCAGTTTGCTTCAGAAAACAAAGTGACCTTTTATTTCTCCATGCAACCCCAAGCCCTAAAACAGAACAACAATGAGGGGAGAAATAAAATGCTAAGGGAGGTATTATAACCTCCCAGTTACTGGATTGATGAGTAACAAGATACACAAGAATAAGATTCAAACAGCCAAGTCTGGCAATGCTGCCAACATACAAACGCTGTGGGATGCACCATGTTAGCAAGTAACAGCATCGGTGGTCCCAGGTAGGAGTGCAAAGTGAGGTGCACTGAAGCATTTTCATCAAGTATCTAAAGAGTCTCTAGGCCTGAGACGCAGACAGACTGGGTCTGCAGTGATCAAGTAAAATTCAGTTCTGAATGGACATGTCCCTAGTCCAATGTGAAAACCCATCTGAAGTCCACTGATATTGATGGGAATCTTTCCATTGATTTTGAGGGATTTTGGATTAGGCCTTTAGCCTCCAGGTCTGCTTGGAACAACTGTCTGCTTTAGAACACTTGACACTGAGAACAACTGTTATTGTCTCCTCCTGCTTGCCTCAGCATTTACAGTGTTTTCAATTTGCTTGGATTGTTGGAGCATTGTTTTGGGCAGATCCCGACTAGTGTGTTCAAAGTGATTCCTCATCTGCAGTATATTAAATTAGTCGATAAATTCAGATCACATTTGATTGTCAGCAAAAACCTCCAATGCTGGTAAGACTGATGCTGTTGTAATTTACTTAGGTAAATGAAACAGACAGAGAATCAAGTCTATTAATTTCCCAAAGGAATTTATTGGGAAAGGAATAAAAAATGGATTAGCTTTGCAGTTCATATAAATGAATCCAGTTTCTCATCTGCAGAGTTAGTACCTTTTTTGAAGCCCCTGCTTAATTATTCAGCAGCTTTACAAGAAAGGTAAGCACTTCATTTTTACAGCATCCCTGTTCATTAAACGAAACACGGCTATTCCTACTTCATACATGAGACCACTGAAGCACAGTGAAGGTGAAGGCAAGATTTTTCTAAAACTTCCCAATGATAAAGGGTGACAGAGTGTGAGGTCTCAGTTTGAGGCTTATTGGACATGCCCTTAAATCAACAAACCCATTCCTAAAAGAAACACAAGTTCAGCATCCAGTAATTTTAGTGATATTTAGGTATCTAAGGTCTGTATTCATCCCTCCTGTCTTACTCAACTAGAGGTTTGATGTGTAAGTCCAACTTAAACACCAAAAAAGGCACCTTGAAAGGATGGTTCACCTCTCTCTGAGATGGCATGGGAGGTGTGGTGGGGAACAGCCCTGGCCAAATCTCAGTGGGGCCATTTCACATATTTGTGTCAAAACCCAAGATCCTTGAGAGCAGCAGACACAGAGATAATAGACACCTACCTTATGGGATACTTACCAGGTGCTCAGTGGGACTGATTTCCTCGTAGAGGAAGGCCTGCCTACGTCTTGGGGAAGAAAGAAATCCCACAAGTGCCACAAGAAGAGTGGTGATGGGGACCTAGTACAGATTTCACACAGGCAGCCCTCTCACACCCTACACACACCCCCCACACACCCCATGCCATGCCACCATGACACGCCAGCCTGGCGTGAGACTGGCTTGAACACCTTCATGGTGCTTTTGAATGACAGCCCTCGAGGTGCTAAAAGTCTTTGACAAATCCCATGACAAAACTATAGAAGACTGAGTACTGCGAAGTGGTTGGCCCTAAGACAAAGCTTCCTAAAGCTCTCTTCCATGCCACAGAGTTAACCATGCATTTCTTCCTGCACTGGATCCCCCGATATCTCCTGTAGCTACCCAACACAGTTTTCTTCCCAATATTCACCTGAAAATACTCTGAAATGAATATAGGCTGAAAAAAAATGGATTTTGTTACACCTCAGATTTCCACGGAGAGCCCAGTAGTGGCCTTTTCCATAACAGGAGCCCAGGGAAATGGTTCTCAATAGAGAAAAGCAGGGACAGGGCGCAAAGATGTACACTAAATAAAGCCTTTTTGTTTTTTCACGCAGACTGAAGCAGCTCTGATGTACGATGCTGTTTACATGGTAGCAGTCGCCTCCCAGCGTGCCTCCCAAATGACTGTCAGCTCCCTGCAGTGCCACAGACACAAGCCGTGGCGTTTTGGACCCAGATTTATGAATCTGATAAAAGAGGCAAGTGTAGACCATCTGCTGGTGGTCAGCATAATCCTTCCTTTCTTCGTTTCTGCATTGGCTTGTGTTGTTGCTCCCTGCTCGTTGTCATATGCTATGATCTGGTTTCTGGCACTCGAATATCCAGTTCTTCCTCACCTTCCTAGCAGAGAAATGTTGATTTACAGACACTAGGCTATGGCTTGTATCCTGGTGGAGTCATTATCCAGCCTTTCAAAAAAAGAAGCTGCTAAACTGTAGGTGTGATAAAATCTCAGACTAACACACTGTAAGAACTGACAGATTCTTTGCTTGGTTAATGTTTATTATGGATGCTTATAATTTCTAAAAATATGAGATAACTAACAACAGCCGTTCCAGAAATGGAAACAAAAGTTATATTGTTTGATAAGTAAACAATATTAAAAAAAATATTGTAGCCCGTATTTCTAAAGAAGTAAATTTCTTCATGAAGTCATGCGTTATCTCATAAGAATGCATCACTGAGCTATCTTGATCGACAGATGTTCTAAAAAATTACACATTTTAGCTGAAATGCCTTCACTCTTCCAAAAACTCAGTCTTTATTATGAATTTGAAATGGAAACTTTTCATGTAGGGAAGCATGTGGAAATGAAAATTGAAAATTATGTGGAGTTTCTTATGTATATTTCATCTTTTGCCCCAGTTCTTGTCCATGACAGTGTGATCCCTATCAAAACCACATCCATTAGCACTTGTGTAGGTGGAACAGCACCTGTAGGCTGAGGTGCAAGTTAAGTGGTGGCAGCACATTGGAGTGTACACCTGAATCCAGGAATATATTAGGAGCAAACTGAAGGACAAGACATGTGGTGGTTGCAGAACATGTAGATGAGCTGTCATCACCTTCTGCAAACCTTTCTAAGTAAATTTTTTAAAATTACCATAGGCAATATACGATGTGGTGATTCCCCTACACAGAAAGCATTGAAAGTTACTGAAGCATTACTCTCTACTCAGGGTGTTTTATGAATTTTAAGGTTTCCTTGGAAGCCTCTCTCTTTGAAAGTCAAACGAAAAGACCGGAGTTACTCACGGACCTGACTTAAGAATTAAGGAAGTTTAATGATCCTTTCCTCACTGTGACACAATGATGGCAACAACCAGAAGACATAGGGAAGCAGCACCGGAAAAGATCATTTCTCTCACACTGACATCAGCCATGCTGCATCCAGCTGCCCCACTGAGGATGAGGGGGGATTACTGTAGCAGGAACTGTAAAAGACAGGAGAAAATTGTCATACTAGTGTCTGTGATAAAGATGAACTTCGTCCTCCCTCCCTCCTTTCTGATTTGATCTAAGTGGTAACCTTTGTTGCTGTGCTTCTCAACCTCAAACTAAATGAAGTAGTGTAGCTAGTCATACAGTTTCCAGTGCATCCTAAGAATAATTAAAATTCAATTAAAAGTTAGCAAAGGACTTTTTATCAGAGAATGCACCTGCATAATTCTACAATGGTCATCTGTTTATTATGGCTGGTGCTAGGTATGTAACATAAGGATCCTGAATCCTAAGCCAAGAGAATTACTTTGACCAAGAGCACCAGACGTATCTCAGCACATCCAATTCAAAGTTTAAACAGTTATACAGCTCACATTTATCAGGTACAGCTAGCTTCTCTTGCATGGATTGAGATATGTGAACTAATTACTAATTGCTTTCCAGATCGTGTCTTTCATGGTCAGTAAAACACTGATTTAAATACTCCAAGAGTCTTATCTTCCTGTTTCTGTTCTAGACAAAAAATATGGTTGTTAAAAGTACAGAATAAGGTTTAATAAGACAGTATTACATTTCCCATAAAGGCTACAACAGGTGTTGGAAACTCAATAGTATATACATTTGGCCGTCCCCAGTTCATGTTTGGATATGTTTTGCTCAGCAAGGATAGATGAACTATATAAATTATGAATGAAGTGAACATGAAAAAAAAGTCAAGCAGGCAGAATGATAGTTTGGGCCAACATAAATAAAATTTAAAATTATTATTTTATGATGTTGTCCCGACAGTCTGTGAGGGCAATTTACAGACTAGTTTGAAGATCAATATTTTGTACTGTAATCTAAATAAACAACTTTCAGACAAAGAGGTTGCCTGCAATGAGTCCTGCAGGTGCTAGAACTTAGCAAGTACTTCAGTGGCTCTCTGGTGGGTTTTTGTGTTTTATTTGAGTGGTGATAAGAACTGCAGTCATCTCATTTGTTTTGTGGGCCAACACTATAAAATGACAGGTTGATGGTAATAGAAAGGACCTCAAAGCCTGCCTGGGCATGAGCAGAGGTTAGGGTGTAAAGCCTCTGACCTTTATAGCAACTGATACGCTGCTCCTTTCTTCACTCAGCAGATGGCAAATTAATGTTTTTCAGCCTGTCATTGTCCTCTTGGGAAGTCAAGATTCAGGTCATATCTGGCCTTCAGGTACACACATGTTAGCTTCTCCCTGAAAGCAACTGGAAAGTGGAGATCCTAGGGCAAAACACTGCCTTTTGATTTATGCTGGTCTGAATATATGTAAATTGGAGTGAGCTCCTGAATTTTCAGAGTAAGTGAAAACAGAAGATGGCTAGTTTAATGCGAAAATACTCCTTCCTCGGCCTTAGAACTTCAGGTAAATGTACCAGATAACAGCAGTAGCAGATCCACTGACTATTTTTCTTAATGACCAAGACCTGAAGTGCTACTAGAGAGACTATAGGAGAAAAACACTAGCAAAAATGTTTGAGGCTACAGAATGATCAAGTACAGCATCAAAAAGAGTAATCTTCTGTGCTCTAAAGATCTTGGGACGTAATGTTGATTGTAGGAAGAATTTGGAAATTGGCAGAGAAAAGCAAGCCTTACCAAAGACCCCCAGCCCTGAGGACAGCTTTGAGGTCAGAGAGGTCATCAGCTGGTTCCCGCGAAGGAGGATGTTACATAAAATACACTCTCTGGGATCAAGACTTTTCTACAACAGCTCATGAAGATCTTTTTAATGAAAAGTAAATCCCTGTCAGAAGCTTGTCTTTCTCAGTGACCTAATGTCATTGATATCTAAATGATATTTTAATCTTTTAGCCCCTGTGGGGAGTACATCTAACCCATGCCTAGAAAGAAAAAGGAGGTCATTCTCTCTCTTCAGAAAGGGAATAAGGAGTGAAAGCATGATTAGCCTTTTCCTAAAAGAAAAATGTGTGTGAATATGAAACAGGTGTTTATAATTGAAAGATCAAATTTCCTGGTCACGTCCCCTTTAAAGCAAGAGATAAACCCCAAATAATGATTGTCTGTTATTCAATTGTCAGCTAGACCAATGTGAACTCCCCTCACCCAAATCCAGTAGCAATTAAAAGAACTACTATGTAGAGAAGTATTGCTGAAGTTAGAGATGCAGACTTTATATTTAATGACTTGATTAAGTCCCCTCAAATAGAACCACACACACAAATCTCAAAGATTAAAAGAAATCTGAAGCATTTACTTCTACATTTCAGTTCATGTTGTGTTTTTGACAGGATATGTTTCAAGCACACCTATTTACTAGAGACCAGGAGTGAGAGCAATCCATCTGGATTCTGCATCGAGTAATTGAATGCAGCCTTCAGGCTCTATACAGTTCAGGGGGTGTGACTTTAAAAACTCTCAGGAATCCTCTGAGCTGAACCAGTTCCTTGTGTAGGCTAATGTAATGAGCACAGAAAGAAACAAGATAAGTGGACTTGGTCATACTGGCACTACCATGACTGTAAAACTTTCAAGCCCCTGTCTCACATGTAATAATTCTTCTGAGTGAAAATGTCCCAGTTATACTGGAAAGACAGGCTCACTCAATGCCTCCAAGCTCAAGAAACTCTTTCCTTAAAATTTTTAAAGGGTTTTCCAGCCCTCTGCTAGCTGATTCTCTTTTCTACAAGTAATAAATAATATGTCTCATAGAATGTGTCTGGCCTGCGACAAAGACAAGCAATACTAAGACCCTGAAGAAGCCTGCTTAAAATATCACAGCATTTCTCATTATTTAAGACTTAAAATGAGACTTTCATTTAGCTCAGTTGTACACAGGAAAAGTAGTGTAAACATTGAACACATTTGTCTACAGTTTTTAAAGCATCTTATATCGTGTGTGACCCCGGTCTGTGGATGACAAACTGCTTCAACAGTAAAGTTAATTAGGAAAAAGAAGACATGTCCAGTCCTTCCCTGTACAAGAGAACAGAAACTGACTCAGCACCTGGAAGTGAAATTATGCAACAAGGACATCCTTATTATCTTAGGTTGTTATTTTGCCTGCTTTTTGGAATCGTGATGATAATTCAGAGTGTCATTCCTGGCATCTTTTCTTCTAAACTTGAGGTATTTAAGCAAATAATTATGATCTTTTGCTGTAGAGAAAGAAGCCTCTCCCTCAGCATAATTAGGAGGACTGGGAAACAGGGAGGCATTATAATTTGCAGTCACCACAAAAATATTTGGGAAGACCTGCACTGCAGGAAAAAAGACTTGAGAATCCTCTGAGCTGGACCGTTTTTTCAAGTAAGACTAATGACCATAGAAAGCAAGAAGATGGGTGAACTTGGTCAAACCAGGACTACCACAACTGCTTATCTTTCAAGCCTCTGACTCAACTTATTTGTAATAATTCTTGAATGAAGATGTGTCAGTCAGTTAGTCACTTGCTAGCCCATACTTGCCTCCAAGCCAGCTGTATCTCTACCTCACCTGTGCTGAGTATAAAAGTGATTTAGAAACTCCCATCTGTCGTGAGGTGTGTGCTATGTACATGCTGCTTAAGACCTGGTTGTTCTACAATAAGAAAGCAGTAGATTTCTCTGCTTTCTTATATTTTAGAGCTGTTCTGCAGCAATCAGACACTGACTTTTTTCAACGCATAAATGTTTAAAAGTTTATATCCTTAAAATCTCTGAACTGTTTGACGTTTACCCAGCACTTTAGATTGATGGCAAGTTCCTACTCTCTCATTCTGATCCACCAGTGCAG